AACAAGAAAATGAAATGGTCTAATCGACCACCTGGCAGTAGAGTTGAATCTCTCCCACCAAGCCCTTGGCGAGCATGTCACGATGTTGTTCCCGCCACTCCATGAAAGCAAGCTGGACGGCCTCGTCACTATCGATCGTGACGAAATCACCATCTTCATCGCGGTAGCGCAGTCGAACCGTTTTGCTCCCGATGGATCGATCGGTGAACCGAGCGAGTTTGGCATCCACGCGGTCCGTCAATGAACGGAACAAAATGTTGGTCGCGATTACCAGCGTGACATAGTTGTCCTCAAAATTCACTTTGGCCTTGAGTTGAGTAGGCATGTAGTCTCCTTCCTCTAGCGGATCTTGGGTCAAGGGTGACGTGGCATGATCGGAGATTTGCCCGGAATTACGGTTGTCGTTATATTCGGGCTCGTTGAAATGCGTGGTGTGGAGTTGGGGCTGGGTACGAATGGGGAGCTGGTTGTTGGTAGGCGAACCGTTCTGGCTGCGGTTGACGGGGGCTTTCATGTTGGCCATATGCGCAGGAATCGGTGGCACGGGGACGTTGTCAACTGTCTGCATAGTGTGCACTCCCATGTAACGCCGTGACTCGGGATTGTTATTGTGGTGGTGAATATCAGGGCTACTAGCTGATCGCATCCGCTGGGTCATGCCATTTGCAGAGTGAGCCTGCGGGCCGGAGAGTGGGGGCAATGATGGGCGCTGAGCACCTCTTCCAGGAGGCTGAGGTGGGAAATATCCGCCAGAGGTCGACCCTTCTCGCGACGTGACGCGAGACAACGCTGGTGCTGTGTAGCGAAGGGAATCCTCATTCCAGACCGAGGATGGCGTGGTGGAATTTGTATTCTGACGACTGAAAGAAAATCCTGCGGATTGAGAACTCGATCTCGTGGAAGGTGTCTCCGCCGTGGGGGAAAAGTAGGAGCTCATATTTCGATCACCAGGGGACATGCTTCCGTTGCCAGGGAACTGAGTGTGCACCGAAAGCGATGGATCGTTTCCTGCATAGCGTGGTCGGGTGTTGGGGTGAGGAACAGAGGTGGTGCTGCCACCGGTGGCAGATCGGGTTCTCAGACTAGTACTGGACGCATTTCGGCTCATTGGGAATTCGGAATGATATGCATCTTTGCTGTTGGCGTCATCGGTATCATACTCTTGTTGATAGGGGTTGGGCATATGCGCCATGCCCTCCATGTATGTGAACTCGCTGTCAGATGTACCAGTATTACGCAAAGTACGTCTCTCAGCTTGGATCGCCCGTTGAGTATCAATGTCCTTGTACCAATTCCGCATGGTGTCTTCATTTACATATCGGATGATGAAATTATCGACGACACCAGGGTCTCCTTTCCAGAAAATCTGAATACGGTAGAGTCCTATTCGAATCAATTAGAGGTATGTTTTTTTAACCCCACAGGCCAAGAGTAATGCTTACCAGGCTTTTGAAGACAAACAATATCTGTGACATTGGCCATATAGATTCGACCCTTCAACTGAAGGCGAGCCTTTCCTTTCGCATTCAAAGACGGCTTATCTTTCTGCATCATAAGCTTGGACTTTTGCTTGTTCGGATTGATATCTTTGCAACAGAGAAGTATTCTCTCGAAGAGATAGATATGGTACTAAGGGCAATGTCAGTAATGTGCCATTTCAGGGAACCAAAAATCATAGGACACTGAAAGCAAGATCACATACCTCTCTCTCACTATCCTTTCCACTGTCTCCCTTGACAACTTGGAAAGTGCCGAATCGAAGAAGATCTCCGAATGACTCCATCTTCAGTGCTTTCCAGTCATCCACGCGCTCAGATAGATCAACTACTGCCGCAGCCAAGTGCTCTTTGTGGATTGCCTCGTTGGCAAAGTCCAACACATTCTGAATACAATTCACTGCATGTGTGATATCAGCCTGGAGTTGCTCGTCTTCTAATTGTTTGCGTAGCTCCTGAGAAGGAACATCCATATTAGCTCGTTAATCTTGAACCTAGCATTTAGCAAACTTACCAAAAGCATTAGCGGGTATCGAGTCAAACGCTGGAAAGGTTTCACGAAGAATCCATTGAGCGTTTTCGGCTGAGCGACCATTTGTTGCAGATCTATATGGCGTGGAGCACTTTGGATTTTGTCCCATTCCTTCATACAGGCTTCGTCGCAACGCATCTGATTGGCAATGAAAGGCTCATACTGGCGGAAAGCATCCTCGTGCAGGAAGAAAAGTTGACCCCAGTTCTGCATTTCTTCTGGCAGGGCGTAGTGCTGCTCCATGCGAATCAGGAACCGTTGGGCAAAGTCTAGTAGGTTGTTTAAGTTGAGGAAAATCTGATGACTTGCATCGCCTGTCAAAGCACCCGTCTCTTCTAGTTCCTTCTTGAGTGCTTGGAGATTCTGCAGGTGATGAACATAGTCACGCTCCGTCTCTAGAAGTTCCTTGAGAATATGCTCTCGCTTGGTAAGCTTCACATTGGCCTTCGCGGAGGGAGCCTCTAGAACTTCAGATTGCTTTAATTGGCCTTGCATCTCGAGGAGGTCCACCACGCGGTTGACCATTTTGATCACTTTGATGAATCCGGTGGTACTCTCGCCGTAAAGGTCAGTGATCAAAAAGCAATCCTGTTGAGGAAATTCCAGCTCTTGTAAACAGGCCTGTAGGAACTTGAATGTCGCCGCTTTGGGACGCTTCGCCTCAGTTACCTTGGCAGGATCAATTTCTAGTGGCTCCTCGGGACCAGATGCATTATAAATGCTCAACAGTGGATAGCCATTTCTGAGGCAATTCCACAAGGAAGCCACCGGGTCCGTATTTCCTCTTATGCGATCATCATCATCCATCTCTTGCAGGTATGACTCGAAGTTGGGAACTTCGGATAATCGCCTCCTCAAATTGACACAACTTTGGTAGATCGATTCTCCACCGCGACGGTTGATAATGTTATCTTCGGCGACCGGAGCGCCACTCATGGCTGAAGAGTCGATCATATTGAATTTCCTCGAGGGCCAGATATAGATGAGTTAGACCAGCCAGGCTCAACTTAAATCTGCACAGCAGACCCAAGAGGGATAGGTTCGGAGGGATCGACGAGCGTCGGAAGTAGGGAGATGACGATCATGGGTTCCCCGGGTGGGTGTGAGCTGCGCGGCGCAGGGAGATGTCAAACAGGAGTTTCGGTCGGAATTCCGGGGACCAACAGCGATACGATCGATTCTCGGTCGCAGGCGTGATTGTTTTAGATGCGTATCCCGGGAAGCGCCCTCGAGATCAGAGGCAACAGGTGATAAATATAGGTATATCTGTTTGAACCAATAGCACGGATATCAAATACGATGCACCGTCACTTTCTGGAGGAAAAGGAGGGGCTCGAGTAATGTATTCCGACTTGCAGCCAATCCCAATCGATGGGGTGTAGGGATTCAGGTGTTTTGGATGACCGCTGCAGCCGGGCACGCGAGTCAAATCAGGTTAAAGAGAGTCCGAAGGAACACCTTTGCGAAAAGGCCAGTCACTAGGACTCAGCGGAGGACAATCGACGTCCCGAGAAAAAAGGGGGTGCACGGAATGATAGAATAAGAGAAGCCAAAAACAAGACGGGATCGGCAGGTTAAAGGATGCCAAGAACCAAAACGACAAGAGCAAGCACAACAGACAAGAGTTCTGCTGATGGAACAGAGGAATAGGATCCTTGGAGAAGAGGGTGAGCCGAAGGAGTCTGTTCAGTTGCCTCAAAGGGTTTAGCGTGTGTTTTATGGGGCGGTGTGATGTGGAGAGGGGCAGTTGGCTTTTGCTTGTGTCAGCAGCCCTTCACCTCCAGGGCTTCAGGGCTGGAGGTCTTGGGGCTGGGTAATCCAAGACGCCGGGGCAGGGCTTGGAGGCTGGAGGTCTGAAAGACAGGAAGGCTGGATAGAAGAGCCGCACTGATGTTGGGGAATTTATATCCATGCATAGTACCGAATACAATGGTACATTTTATATAGGGTTCACATACAAAAGGTACATCCACTAAACTAGATAGGGAAAATATATACCCAAGTATTAAAATATTCCTGCTCTAGAACATTATTATCCCCTCCAGGGCTGTCTTTAGCGCTTAGAAATGGTCTGTGCAATTAATTGTAAGACAGATTTTAGCGGTTCCCTTCGACGTAATAGCACTATATTAGCACCTATTTTGGAAAATGCGATCGGTACTGTTCTTTCCCCCCCGGACTAACTAGATATGGGGTATGCCCTCTAATCGTAGCTATGCCTCTAGCCATGCAGAGTATAGAGGAGTCTAGATTTAATAGAACAGCATATATACTATGTTGTATGAGTTGCTTCCTAACATACTTCTACGGTAACACAGTGATAGTTATGTGAGACATGAAGGAATGGACCCGTTCTTGACTTCCCACTTTTCTTTGATTGATATTTTTCATTCTCTTTGTTAATAACCCGGTTTTCTCATGAAGTACCCAGCCATAGAGTTTTTTTTTTCCTTTCTTTTTTTCCTTTCTAATTATGTATGGGATCAACCCACGTGACTCACAGGGGGAACAATCTATGGATGTGTCCATTTAACGCGCATAATCAAACGTACTCCGAGTGATGGGAGGGCTCTTTAGGATGACTCTGTATTGAAATTTGAATTCCACTAAAATTCTTCTTTTTTCTTCCAATTTAAATTGAAATTCTCGCATTCTCCATTTTTTTCTCTCTTGTGTTCCACTTTGCGACTGAAGTCCCTAGTTCGCGATAATTGCGCTCTATCAATCAGGTGGGCCTTGCCTCGCCCAAACGTGACGTGACATGCACCAAGACCAACATTTGAACCCATCTACTCAACCTCCTTCCTTTTCCCAACCCTCTTACAAAAGGACCCTATTTTCATTTATTAATTTCCTTTAATCACTCCAGGGCTTAAAAGTTCCTTTTAGCATTTCGCCCCCATCGCGCAACGCCATTGATCTCGGCGTCCGACCCATCAGCTCGGTGCAGACCCCTCTGAAAACCCGCATCAATGGAGGGTGAGCCCTTGCCCGATGCTCCCGATGCCCCCGATGCTCCCGATGCTCAAGTCTCCCCTACGCTGCAATTGCAGACAGCTACCATCCCCGAGTTCTCCGCACCTTCTCTGTCACCCTCGTTTAGGCTAGATGAAGGCTATTCGGACGATACTCGAAGTCAGGCTGACAAAGATCTGGGATCGGACAATGTCATGGCGCTTCCAAATTGGGTGCTCGCCCAGTCCGAAGCTGGCAGAGCTGGTAAGATATCCCTTTCCATTTCCCCCTATGGTGATTGCTATGAGTGCGCAGCATTCGCTTCTTTTAGCTTGTCGCTTTTGCGATTTTCCTTGTTAACCAACTGTTTTCCCACTTCTAGAGCTCGCATACAGTCTTCTTCGGTCTCTACGAACCTCGAGCATCGCCGCAGTAGTTGATCGGCTTAACCCCATCCTCCATATTGACCCATGTGTCAGGCTTCCCCGGAAATCACATGGGAGATCTTTACCTACCTCGACATTCGGACGCTTCTGAATGCATCGCTTGCATCCCGCTCATGGCGTGAACGTATCCTTGACTCGGGTCTGTGGAAATTCAAGTATATTCATGAAGGTTGGGAAATGGACACGGGCGCAATTCGTGCGTTTGAGCAAGAGCATTCCGAGGCTATGTCGCCCCAGACCCGGAAGTCCCGCCTACGACACTCGGAACTAGATATCGGGGAACCCAAGCAGAAAAAGCGCGTGCCGTCGACCTGGCTCGATTCACGAAGCGATGAAAACCAGAGACCGACCGTGTTTGACCCTGTCCCCCCGGTGGCCGATAGTGAAGGCGATCACCACATGACTGATGATGACGACCAAACTGCACCTTCGTTCGCTGATGACCCGGAGTCCATTCTGCCAACTAATATTCCCGAATCCTCTTCGCCGCTGTACCCACCTCTGCGGTCGCATCTTCTCATGCGAGATGCCAGCGGAAGTGCCAGAGTCAACTATTTCCACGTCTACAAGCAACGCAGGCGCCTCGAAGCAAATTGGCATCAAGGCCGCTATACCAATTTTCAACTTCCTGACCCATCCTATCCAGACGAGGCCCATCGCGAATGCGTATATGCGATCCAGTTCGAAGGCCGATGGCTAGTCAGTGGGAGCCGAGACAGGACTGTGCGAGTCTGGAACCTGGATACCAAAAGGTTGTGGCACCCCCCCGCTCGTGGGACACATCAAGTCCGTACTTTGCCTGCAATTTGACCCTCAACCCGAGGAAGACATCATCATCTCTGGTAGCAGCGACAAGTCCGTCATCATATGGAAATTCTCCACGGGAGAAAAGATTCGGCAAATTGAAAACGCGCATTTCGACTCGGTGCTCAATCTCAAATTCGATCATCGTTACCTTGTAACATGCTCCAAAGACCGAACTGTGAAGGTATGGAACCGCCGAGATCTTCTCCCGAATAGCAAGGATTATCCGCGTATCTGCCATGGATCAGGCGCCACATATCCTGCGTGGATAATAGATATCGACAAGGTTTCACCGAGTTTTCTTGAAGCCGGTATTGCACACGATCAATTCAAAGCTCTAGAGCCTTACACGTTGCTTATGACTGTGGAAGGACATGGAGCTGCCGTGAATGCAATGCAGATTCATGGTGATGATATTGTGACAGCATCTGGGGATCGAGTGATTAAGGTCTGGAACATTCGCACTGGTGCATGCTCGAAGACCTTGATGGGCCATGAGAAAGGCATTGCATGTGTTGAGTTCGACAGTCGAAGAATCGTCAGTGGGAGCAATGATAACTCTGTTCGCATCTACGATCATGCCACCGGAGCCGAGGTGGCGTGTCTGCGAGCTCATAGTAATCTCGTTCGCACCCTTCAAGCAGGGTTTGGTGATGCTCCAGGTGCCGATGAAACCTTGCGCGGAGAAGTGCGAGCGTGTGAGAATGCGTTCTTCGCCGCTCAAGAGGCCGGATTGGACGTTGACATGGGTCGTCGGGAGCAACGCCGTAATGGCTACCAACCGAACACTACGGGATCACGGGACCCTCGCGATATCCCTGCTCTGGGGGCAAAAATCCCACCCGGTGGTGGAGGCAGTAGCTGGGCCCGTATCGTGTCCGGTTCCTACGACGAGTCAATATTAATTTGGCACAAAGATCGTGATAACAAGTGGACAACGGATCATCTACTGCGACACAGTGATGCCATCACGAATTCCGCTCGTGCGAGCCTCAGCCAACTGGCGCGAACCACAGTTTCTGCCCAGGCTCAACAATTGCAAGCAGCACAGGCTCTGGCGACACTTGGGCAAAATGCCAATTCTAACCCCCACGCTGGTCGTGACAACTCACCACTTGTGCCTCCTCTGATTATCAACTCTGTGCCAGTCCACCCACCTCCTGCTCACCATCATCACCACCATGGTCACCAACGCAGACCTCAAGGGTCCGCGATAGCTGCGAGGGTGTTCAAACTCCAGTTCGACGCACGGAAGCTCATCTGTGCCAGCGTGGACCCTCGCATTGTGGGATGGGATTTTGCCTGCGGTGATGAAGATATAATTGAGGCGAGTCCATTCTTCAAAGGGCTTTGATCTTTCTCTCGCCTATACGCCTTTTAATACCAATATCTGCTCTTGTTTACTTCGGTGCATCTCCGGCATCGCCCTTACTGGGCATGAATTGTGAACCCTCTGACGAAGAGACGGCTCAATTCACTTGACGACCTTTTATTTTTAGCATCCATGTGATCGAGTGTGGTTTCTTTGCCTGGTGCATTGCTCCTTGCTCTCACGCTATTTCTGTCTCCCTCTCTCTCCGGCCACCCCTTGTCCTCTCCTTGCCCATCTTCTCAATGTCGTGTCATACATACGATGGGCCCTTTCTTTCTATTTAATGATGTATTTCTTATTTTGACTTCTTTGTTAGGAGTCATTCCTGGCTATCCAGGGGTCATATCTTTTTCGGCGTTTCTTTTTTTTTCATCTTTTTTTTTCATTCTCATTGTTATCTTTCTTGCATGGCGCCGGTGTGGCATTTGATCTATATCATTATGGCTAGCATCAATCAGAAAGGTTCGACTCAAGACAATCTCCCTTTATATAAAATCACCTCGGCAAAATTGACTCTATCTCTCAATTGGAATGTGGGACCCGTGGATTGAAAAACTTACATGACTCATCAGGAAGTATATCCCACAATAACTACATGCTTGGAACTTCCCCCAGGCTCATAACCTCACCTCATCTCTATATATCATCATGGCCACCCAAACCCCAGACTACCACCTCATCGGGCTATATACCCGCTACTCCAGTAAGCAGCATGCAACCATAAACCAGCGGTCTTCGCTAACAAGCCCTCTCTAAATAGGTTGGACAGCACGCGTCGAAGCAGTACTGGAATACTTCCAGATTCCCCACACACGCCAATTCATACAACTCTCCGAAGTACGTACCTACCTGCCTCCACCCATCCTCAACACAAACCTGAGTATACAGTCACTCACATAAACCATACAGACAAAATCCTATTCCCCAACAGGCCTTGTCCCAATCCTACAATGCCACTCCCTCCCCTCAGCAACAATAACAGACTCCCTCGCCATCTGCGAATTCCTCGCTGAATCAAACCCATCCCTCCCCCTCTGGCCTAAAGACCGCCAACTGCGCGCCCTAGCCCGCAGCGCCGCAGCCCAAATGCATTCAGGCTTCCCAGTCCTGCGGAATACCTTCCACACAAACTTCCTCGCCAGGTACACGGGCAACGTACCGATCCCGGATGGTGCAGCTGCGGAGATAGCGCGGATGTTCCGGATCTGGGATTCGGCGCGGAAGGCAACGACTGAGAGGCTTGCGCTTCTGGGTGAGGTTGATGATGGGTTTTTGTTTGGTGGGTTTAGTATTGCGGATGCGTTCTTTTGGCCGATTCTTTGGGTAGGTTTCTTTCTTTCTTTCTTCTCTCCGGGCGTTTGACTGACTTACATCTCTAGCGATTCCGTTCTTATGGTCTTCCGCTAGATGGTGCTGGGCCTGATGCGCTGGCGTGGATGGCGAAGATGTGGAGTGATCCGGTGTTTAAGGCGCTGGGCGATAGATACTATGCGCAAGCTGAAGACCCGCAGACTTGCATTGCCCATTACGATGATATCTTCCGGGATAGGGATGATGTGCAGTATGGGTTGTTTCCGAGGGATTGGACTTTCTCGGCTTCTGTGTGAGGAGTATACATGGTGAAGGATTGATTAGGGTACAGAGCTCTAACCTATGCTAACTACATGTATTAATCTAATTGCGAAAAGAACTGTACATTCAAGGATGTTAAAGGTTTCCCGTGGTAGCTATGGATAGGAAAGAATCACAGTTTTTAGCGTAGATAAAAGCCACCTCATGTTCAAGGTATGTACCTCCGGTGCTGTACGGTAGCCCCTCGGCTGAGGGTTCCCTATTTTCGCGTTAATGCTTCCCGAGTGAAAAGGTTCGGTCCAGGATCAGACGAGCTTCCAATGGTGCTCTGAGACATATCACCAATCAGACCATGCCGGTTGATCCCCTCGAGTGATCGGAAATCACTCCGGGAGTCCCGAGGTCAGACTCCGCTCTCTTTTGCCACTCGGATGGTCCCCCAGGGGTACCCATGGACCTGCCTAGGACTTACCCAGGTGGATGTCTATGATATCGGAGTATTTATCCCACTTATTCAGTCCATGCCTAAAGGGGTATTCAGCCCCACAGTGCTGTATATTGTATGTTGGAAGATCATGTACTCTGTAGCAAAATCCAACCCTTAAGAAGCTCGCAAGAGAAAACGTGGCAAAGGTGCAAAGGCAAGTTCAACGGAGGCGTTATTCTCCCTCTGTTGATATATATCTCTTCAACGAAAGAACTTGGAATAATTCGAAACATCAGGAGTAAGTTCTTGCCAAGAGTTCCGGGGTTTCAAGAAAATCCCGATCTTGGCATGCAGCGCCAAGGCCGAAGAGGGAGGTTATATTTCCACCAATTTCGGCGGTCTTTCTAGATGGAGAGTTGTAGATGTTTAGATAGTAGTGAAGAGGAGAACATTTAGGTGATTCACCAGAAATATTATTCCAAGAATAGTGATGATACACGGCTGGAAGCGCTTGTAACTACTCTGTGCAATGGAATCGCTTCCTCTGGGTTCATGAAGGATCTTCTCATTCTCATTCAAAATCGGTTAGGTCTCGAACATACACCGCCAGTTCTTCGCATTGCAGCCAATTTACTCTGTACAAGAATTCGGATCCTTCGCAATTAACATTAGCTCAATCCTATTGCGGTGTGGTGCGCGAAGTACCCTCTCACGTTGATATCTTCACTCCTCTGTATGGAGGATCTCCGGGCTCATGCCACTTCCGGGTAAATTCCGGTGCAGAGGCTTTCTAAGGGCCTTCCAATCGAACTGAAGAGCGCTAGCGCGGAGTGGGGTGCGTATAAGGAACTCTAATATACTTTAAGAATACCCACATAGCTAGATAGGACTCATATCTATCTCCATTGGGAGGGGGGTTGGGTTGTTCATGGCTTCTTTCTCGCCTCTCTAATGCAGTCGATTCCCTTTCATAGCCTTTCTAATCCCTAGAGTAGGTTGTAATATTCATGAAATTCTGTTAAAATGGTGAGGTCTAGCCTCCTGGTTGGTGGATCTTCTAACTGCGTGGATAGTTTCAAGGTGGCATACACAGCCACAATGCCAATACTTCGAAATCTTGGCTTTTGGCATTTTCACTATAACTGTGTCTTTGTATTGGCTCCATAGCGGAATGAAGCGCCAAGGCGGATGATATCTAGGTACGATGTTAGAAAATGTCTTATGTCCCCACAGGAACGTAGAGGTAATGTGCATCCCGGCCGAATTAGGACCTGGACCCTGCATAACAAGTCACAGTTGTGGGGTAATGCATCGAATCTATCCAGTCAGATGTTGTTAAATTTATTCATGGATATTGAGGAGTCCTGTAGCCGTACTGAGTATATCCAACTGAGACAGTACTCCCTAGGGGTCCTGTCTTGTTATGATCTCCAAAGATATAAAAGGGACCCTCGTTGGCCCTCGATTTGGTCAACTATCACCAACCATCATCAACCATCAACCGAACAAAATGCACGCCAGCGCCATCATCCTCGGTCTCATTGGCCTTGCCAGTGCCCAGACTCTCAAGATCCCCACCCGTGTGGGCAACATCGTCTCCTTGCCTTCTCCCAGTGTGATCAAGGGCAATGTTGATCTGGGTAACAGAGAGTACGATCGTGGTCGTCCCTGCAACAGCGACGATGACACCGGTATGTCCACATAAAAACCCAAGTCCAAATGAATGGAGCTAATTGAATAGGCTCCGCCAGTGCCGTGTTCATCTTGGAGAACGGAGCTTCTCTGAGCAACGTGATCATTGGAAAGGACCAGCTCGAGGGCATCCACTGCAAGGGAGCCTGCACCCTGACCAACGTCTGGTTCCGTGACGTCTGCGAGGTAAGTTATCCCATTGTCTATCTAGCCATGTGTATCCGATCAACACAATGCTAATGTGTCTTTTTATAGGACGCCATTTCCATCCTCGGAACCGGAGACGCTCTCATTCGTGGCGGAGGTGCCCAGGAGGCCAAGGACAAGGTCATCCAGCACAACGGTATCGGAACCGTCACCATTGATGGATTCACCGTTGTGAACGCCGGCAAGCTGTACCGCTCATGCGGCAACTGCAGCAACAACAAGAGCAAGAGCCCTCGCACCGTCGTTGTCAAGAACGTCAAGGCCAAGAACGTGCCTACCCTGGTTGGAATCAACTCCAACTACGGTGACCACGCTGAGGTCAGCGGTACTTGTGGATCCAACGTCAAGCACGTGTGCCAGGAGTTCCAGGGAGTTGAGAAGTCCGCCAAGAAGGAGAGCCCCAAGCTGACTTCCACCTCTTCGTGCAAGGGACAGTCGTCTCTTTCTTCCTGCTAAATTCGGATTCATCTTTTGATGGATTGAGAAAGGGAGGAGGTATGGATGCTGCCCACTGGCTATTGAGGAGGAGGAAGAAGAAGAGGATGTCGTGGGCAAGCAGATAGTGAAGGCCTCAGGCCATCACACCATCCCTCTCATAGGACCGAACCCCTTTTAGGCTAGATACATATGTAACTATCAATGTAATATAAGACAATGTGGAAACCCCCGAAAACCGCTCGAATCCCTCTTAAACAGTAAACCTGCATGCCATGCTTCTATCAATTTTTCTATTTCAAGCGTCCTTACCATGCAGGGACGAGGTTATGGCCTATATTGCAGAGGTAATTCGAACTACACACCAGGTATCAGTAGTAGATTTGATCTTGTAGATAAGTTTCGTGATACAGGAAACATTTGATACATTTCCGGAGATAGAATAACGGTAAATATGCTTATAATTGGATTCATACAATATCTATTTATTTTAATAACATCAGGCAAATTTTTGGGATATAATAGCGCACAGAACTTTGAATACCCCGAGAGCCAAACCTGACATACTAGTGTGTTTCAAGGTCCTATAATAGCATATATGTATATATATATATATATATATATATATATATATTATAGCTGTGTTGCTGTGGAGTTGGATGGGTTAAAGTTAAACAGAAAGGGTACGTGGAACGAATGATTTGGATCGACTCATGGAGGGATCTGACTTCACAAATATTGCCCAAGTCCAGTCTTATTCTAGCTTGCGGGTTTATATCGAGAGCTCATTTAGCTGCGAGTACTACAACTGAAAGGAAACGACCCAATACCCTGGCGGTTATTGATTATATTTCTATTGATGTTCTTAATGGTAAACCTTAGTTGCCATCCCATCTATAGTGATGATAGGATACGGGAGGCCTTGTTATGCAGATTTGCATGCCGTTCAAGTTCAGCCATCAACATCGACCTGGAGCACTGATTTGTGGATATCCCCGTCTGCGACCTCGACTTGTTTGGGGATTATTGGAATGAACATGGTCGAGGCCCCTAAGCGGCCCTACCGAATAAGTTCTGGCTATGTAGCAGTGCGAGAGAAGCCACTGACTGTATGTACCTAGTAGATTGATTTGCACTTGCTTGCCGAGAAGAGTATGCCAGATGCTATCTGGGACTGAAAGTGTCGGGATGTGATTGGTGAAGCGTGTTTAGCCCAGCGGGCCGTGCTCCCGATAGTCCCCTCTAAGTAACTGCAATGTTTGATCAATCAGAAAGAGCTATTTGCGGCCGTTTTGTCAACCTTAGATCGCCTTCTTCCTTATCTAGGGCTGATCTGCAGTTGACCTTCGTTTGTGGAGTATTCGAAGTACATCGTATCCTAAAATTAACAGCGAGGCTTAGACTCAATGGGACTACTAAATTTCAGTCTGCCGTTCTTCATGGGTATATAAACCGATGTCTATGTCTCTGTTGTCTTCGAATCATTATACAACTGACTCACCTTTCAATAGTCCTTATTCAGGACTAAGTCATACTTCTATTGAGGCTCCATCTTCACAGATTTCTTACCAAAAGCACATTTGTCTAGAGTATTGAGACTCAAAATGGGGACGGCCGAGTTCTCTCACCGTGGCGATGGCGGGAAAGCTAGTACAGCTTGCCCGATGCCATCACATCTGACCCCTGGTGCACAATTCAACTTCAATGGTCTTTCAAACTTAATAAGCTAATTTATCCCAACTAGATGCATCTCAGACCTTTGTCGGCGACTTATCCTTTCACCACTTTAATATGATACTCTCTGGCGCTTGCACAGGTATCACTTGTTTGGTGATCTTCATGGTTATGGCCCGGCATGCAATGCACCTAAGTAACCCAACTCAACAAGTCAAGTAAGTTCAATAAGTGTTATCCCGCAGTGACAAAATCATTGTCGATACTGATAGAAGTCAATTGAAGGATTATGAGAATTGCTACATTATTCCCATTATATACGATCTATTCGTTGCTTTCAGTATGCTTTCCCAACGCATATGTCTATCTGGTTGGATGGACCAAAGTTTTCCAAGGGGTTGCCTTGTATTGGTTTCTCATGTTGCTCTGCGATTTTATTGTGCCAAATGACCAACACAGAGCTGAGTTCTTCTTATCTTTGAGAATTCCAAAGAGATATAGCAAATCCAAAACAACAGATGGGCTGTCATGGTTAAAGGTAAGTTGTCTGAAATTGATATAACAGCAAGATATTCAACTGACTTTGTATACTTGCAGTATACGTGGTTTTTCGTTCTGCAGTATCCCATTGTTACGTTCATCCTTGCAATAGCCCAAAGCATCACGCAAGCACAGGGAACTTTCTGCCTTGAAGGAAACAAAGTCTATTTTGCTCACTTGTGGGTAAGTATATTCAGTCTCTTTAATTTGGTTGACAATGTATCTAATACTTTAGACAGATCACAATCATTTCGATTATATCACTTGCTATGGCAATGATAAATATCATAGGGTTCCACAGCAACCTTAAATCTTATATGGAAGGGCAAAAGCCAATGATGAAGCTCTTGGCATTTAAAATGGTTGTTGGTCTTGAATTCTTAGAGCAGGTCAGAAAGACTCACAACTTTTAAACCGAAAGAGTGACGAACCCCTGACAAATAACAGATTATATTTATGGTTCTTGACTCCACTGGCACCCTTGAGCCTTCTGCTACCCTGAGCTATGCAGACACCATTATTGGCTTACCTACCCTGATTATCTCTCTGCAGGTGGTTCCGTTTGCATTTTTATTCTACTATGCCTATTCCATCAAGCCCTATACAACATTGAACGTCAACTGTACTAGCAATCTGCAGGACCTTGCTGTTGTTGACAGTGAGACCGGCAACCCCCGCGTAAAGCGCTATCAGGGTGGTCCCTTGGGAGTTTATGCTTGGCTGGCATTGTTCAACCCAGGGGAGCTCTTTCGAGACATCAGATCGACATTCAATATGTTCCGTGATTTTAAAACAGAGGACGAGACCGGAATGAGCTTGGATTCTCGGAGGTAAACACCCACAGGCCACCTGCTACGTGACCGGAATCATGCTCCAAGCAGGATGTGGAATTAGTCGAGGAAGATGACGAACCAATAGGCCTCGCGGCCATTTGATAAGATATGGGAGACGCTGCGTATTCACCAGCGACAATAAATGAGGCTGGAAATCAAGAACCTAGCAACAGTCGACACAAATTCCATGAAAGTTTGCTATGATTCAGCAAGTGTAAGAACAACCGGTGAAACGTATGTGTACCTAAAATCAAGATCTTCATCCCCCTGGGATTGTTCCCGGGACACTAGGAAATTTATCTTTTCGAGTAGCTCATACGTTAGATATGGTTTATAGATCACATCGCCTATTCCAGCAGTAAAGGATACATAAAGCAAGCCCTCCTAATAATTTTAGGCTGCAATTTTCTAAGTTTTGCTTGAAATATGCTTTAGTAGAGCTCGTCCAATACTACCTTCAGCTAATGGATGAACCTCGCTTTTCATACCATACTGTTTCTATTAGAATTAAATCGGGTGAGTGGGTATCTAGGTAGGTCATCGGACATATCATTGCTAACGTTACGCTGGATTGCACTAAAACCAACGATAGGACAATACAAACAGAAAGAAACAATTATATGAGAGTTGAGTGGAGGGGCAAATATATACCCCTTTTATTGAAGGAGGAGCAACTTAGTATAACAGAATAGCTAACTAGTTACCTAGGTATAGCCTGTCAATTAGGTAAGATGAAGATTCCCTGTGGGACAATGATAATGAATCTAGAGACCGTGGGGTCATGGGGCACGGTCTCGAGAAACGCTGGGTACTCGTCAATACCTGCAGAGACCGTCAATGGTGGAGAGAACCTCGAGAAGCCATTCAATTCCACGATACCTGGCTGTGACCTCGAGACCAGTTTGAGCCTGGAATCGTCGCACACCACTCACCTCCTGGCATTCTACACTAAATAAGTAAGACGCGTCATATTATTCCGTACTGTGTGGAGTACTCCGCCTTTTGAGGCTGAGATCCCCCAATTCACTGGCAACAAACTCCGCCGATGCGTTGGCGTGACCAGAGCTCTGTATAACTCCCGCTAACTGCGGGGGATGCTTTGACGCTGACAGAGCTCATAGCCGCTAATTCCGACCGGCCAAGGGAGGATGAGATCTGTACCCCGTACTCTGTGCTCTGTACTATTCCGTATCATTATCTTCAACCCATTCAAATAACCATATCGGATACTAGGAGTTCAAAAACAAACTAGATAAGCAAAAGTAGCGCTGATCTCTGTTGGGGGCCAAACCTAATTGCAAATCAGCCCCGGCATATAACCCTAATCCTATTTAGGAAAGGCAGATGCAGCACCAATCAGCGCCTGTATTTCTAGTGTGATTGCGCCAGGATCTGCATTTATACGGTGTACAGTCCCATGGGCCATGTGTAGATCTCTCGGTAGGGCCGCTATCACTCCCGTAACCTAAGTAGACTTCTTCATGCCAAGAGTTAATAGCCCCATTTCTCGATGCCAGAAAGCTAAGCTATCTTAGACAGGCCCAAGCCCCTTGGCTATAAAGAGGTTGGGCGAAGTCCGCTGCATCCTGCGACTAAGCTTTTCCTCACGTACCAAAGCTTTTGAATTACAACACGACAAGATGAGTCTGCGGTTAAGGGAGGAAGGAGGCGGAGAATGCGAGCTGGTGGGAGAGGAAATGGCCACACTGGTGGGCAACGGGGTGAGTAGACGCCGACAAAAGGAAATTTGATCTGTACTAAGCGGAGGTAGATTATCGTAGGATTTGCTGGCCAAGCCCTTTTGTCCCTATGTCTATCGATATGGGTTTTCTTTCTAACGAAGCACGGCAATATGGACATCACACACCCAGAAGGCTCTATCGAGCGCGAGGTCGAACGCAAACGCATGGACTTCGTTTCTAAAATCTTAATGGTTGGATCTGATTTCCAATCGACGCTTGGAATAGCATATTTGGTCACAACGTTTGCACAGGTACGCTGAATATACGTAGGCACAATAATTATATTGTGCTCTATTATCTTGTTAGCTCCGCTGACACGCCTATCCCCTCACAGGTATCCATCATGGACACATACCACTTGCACCTCGTATTCGACATCGCCAGCTTTGTCGGAGTATCGAATACAGCAGCTCTCGTTTGCTGGAGATACTGTCGCGCCAAAATCGACGAACCAGACATGAAGCTTCAAAATAAGCCCAATGTCCGCATCAGCTGGTTTAATGGTCGCTATCGAGCCGTTTACATTTTCGTCGCTTTGTACCTGGCCCTTACCATTCTCCTTGGTATCCGTCTCAATGAATGGGCACCCGATCAGGAACCTGGCCGTTGTTATTATTCAACACTTGTCACAGATCCATCAGACTCACACCCCGCCGCGGACAAGTACTATGTGGGGTTCACCAGTGCCTGGCTCATAGTTGTTGTCCTTGCGAGTGTTTTTGCTGGAGTTAAGAGAAGACGTACTATTCTGGTGCTGTCATCGCTCCACTTCCCCTTACATCTCTATATGACGATTGCTCTTCGACAGGCAAATCAAGGCAAATTTGAGGGAGAGACAAGCCATGAGAATGAGTGGGACTTTGGCCAGACGACAGCCGTGATGCTTCTAGTGATCGCCCTTGTGGAGCTTCTTCAGAAAGGAAAAGAGTACTACGATTTTGAGCGCCATGTGGCTAAATATGGAGTGCCCCCTAGTGCAAATGACCGTGCAATCCAAAAGGATGAGGAGGCCGATGGGAGCAGCTCTCTCCTTGCCAAGAGTTCTGGAGACAAGAATATGGCCGAGGAAAGGCGTTCTACAATGCAGGAGCACACTTCAAGTTGAAGAACCAGATGCATTGTTTTGCTCAGTGAGCGTGGCGTCCGGCTTATATAACGATTGGGTGATATTCAGGACGTGCTTGGTTTTACTCAGTAAGCAAAAGGCGGCAAAAGGCGAGTACTGAAACGGAACTGGAAAGCCACCACATGTCAGACAGTGTCCAATTATATATGTATATACGGGGGAAAGACAGGTGCAAGTTAATAATAAGACAATTCAGCAAGCGCATTTTGCATTGGGGATCCAGAAAAGAAAGAAAACAGCATCACAGTAGCAACACATCAGGTCGTGGAGGCACATATACTTCAATCAAAGTTTATACAGCGGCATGGTTCACAAGAGTCGGAAACGTGACACCATACAGAGACGAGATCCATCCCTGGAAGCCATGGAGACGGGCATTCCCCTCACTGTTCTCATTCTGAGATCTAGCAGGCGACACCTGGCTCTGGGCCGTTACATAAGTATCCCGTGAGCTGGTTGCCCCGAGAGAATCGTCCGGCTCCTCGTGGCTTCCCGAGCAGCAGCAGCAGCAGAAGAGGCATCTCTGGGTCTTCACCCACGCCAAAACGTCTGGACAGACGGGCGTTCTTGCGTGAGGATATTCATTTGCACCGCCACCGCACCCAGCCATTGTCAAAACTGAATGCAACCGCGATGGATTGGGAGGGACATGATCGCCACTTGTCCTCGTCACTTGAGCAGAAGATTCCACTGGATATGCAGGACTGTCTGATCCAGTCAGATTGCGCGGCAAACTGAGAAGTGCAGTGGCTCTGGGACGCGGTAGGCGGTTTACCACAGCAGGGGCCGGGTTCGATGGAAAAGGGAAACGTCGTCTCGGGGGCCTGGCTAGAGGCTGGACATGACCGTTTGGACTTCGCCCAAGACCACCCTTTGTCTGTGTAGCTTCAACATAAGCATCGTAGCTTGTATCTGTGGCTTCATGGCGAGCAATGGGAAGATTGTGTTGATGGAAAGGGTGATCATGCAGTGGCCGACCAATGTTCATTCCATGGCCGCTTTGTCGATGGGGGAACCGGCCCTGTACTAGCGTGCCATCCTCGGCTCTTCCTACACCATTAACGGAAAGCCCACCATGAGATACAGAAGGTGGCAAGCCAAATAATCTCCTTAGAGTGTCGCCATATGAACTGCTACGCTGACCGCCAGCAGGGCCACTACCTTGCAAGTTTGTGGGTGGCCGTGCAACATTGTCTGGAATCATGAACCGTGCGGAGACGGACATAGCCTCTGACGTGCCGAAGGAGGGAAGGCCAGGGGGCGTAGGCATTCTTTCTGGCGGTGGGTATGGAGGTTGGACAATTTTCACTGCAGGTTCCAAGTTCCCAGGCCATCTGGGCCTGCGGATACTACACTCACTTGTATCAAGGGAAACCGCCTTGCGATGTAAAGACCGACGGGGGCTTAGTACCGATGTCGTTTTACTCAAAGGAGGTCTCGACCAGTGTGTGGCTTGCCAGCACTGGTCAGATAGCAGCTTGGTGTGGTTCCCAAGCTTCCCTGCCATCCTCTGTCGTCTTCCTCGCCTGGCTGGCACAGTGGTAGGAGTATGATAATCCTGTGAATCTGTAAGAACAAATCTGGCCATGTTTACCGCTAGGCCTTGGTCGTGAACGGGGTTATCATGAATGAGAGAAGCATAGAAACGAGGGCTGGAATCGTTTGGCGTGGTGACTCTGACTGCATTGTATATAGATCGCTCATCGCTTAGTATAGACTCAGATGAGTCTAGGTTATTGTATGGTGAAACGGAGTCGGAATCGCGAGGGTGTTTCCCACGTCGGACGCTCTGTGATGCTGACAAAAACCGCGAATGAGGGTTACTGGACTGATCGATTCTTCCTCGGGAAATCATCTTAAAGGCAAAAGAGCGAAGCCTGACAAGATTAGAATATACTTGGAGAGTGACAGGTGAAATTAGAAAAGATGAGTATGTGATTTCCTCGAAACCCTCAACCCTCATCGTGCCTGCCGAGATCAAGCCAAAAAGAAATATTATACAAAACAGTCTATATGTACACCATTGAATGAATATGCGCTCTAAACCCGAAAACGTTGAATGTCATGATCATAATGGAGTGCCACCTGGGCTGGGCATTGGCTTGCCAGTCACCTGGGCGTGCTCCTTTCTTAGGGCTCGCAGCAATCCTTCAATTCTGCGACGCTCTTCTTGTTCGGCCTGGGAGGTGTCGGTTAGTACGAAATGAGAGAGAAAGGTACAATAACAACTCACCCTCAGTATCTTCATGTTCTCGTTGCGCGTGTCACGCATCATCTTCTTGAACTCATTCTTGAGCACCATAGTAGATGTCGTCTCAGAAGTGCCATCGCGGCCAACAGATGTGGGACTACTCAAGTTCATCCAGCTGATACGTTCTTCCGCTAGTTGTGTCTCGAGTTGCTCACAACGATCCCGAAGACTGTCAATGAAAATTTCGAAGCGCTCGCGTTCCTTCTCAAACTCGATGCTGGCCTTCGTCATGGCTTCGTAGTCATCGATTGTCTCACGAAGTTCTCTCTCAAGAGTATCCGCCCGCTGCTGAAGGTCACCACCTCCTCGCTGGCTCTTCAGAGCGGCCAGTTCTTCAGTGAGCTCGATGTTTCGAGTAACCAGAGCATCGTTCTCCCTTTGGACGCTAGGGTTGGAAGCCACCTCTGCCGCGCGTTCGGCTCGGGTACCATAGGCACCATCCAGCTCTGCCTTGGCCATTGTCAGTTCAGTTGTGACCCGCACAATCTCGCCTTCAAGTTCAGTCAACTCATTTTGCAGGCGAGTGACATTGTGGTCCGACTGCGCGCGCTGATCATCCGCTTCCTTGATCCGGGCATCGGATTGAATCCGGATTTGTTGGATAGCGGCTTCGAGTTGAGCCACCTCTTGCTCTGCGCGGTCACGAGCACCCCTAACTTCCTCGGACCTGGAATCGCTATCGTTCTGCAGCGTTTCAACGACGCTCTGCAGGCGTTGGACTTCATTCTCCGCGCGGTCCCGGGCTTCCTTGACGTCCTCGCCTCTAGCATCGGCATCGTTTTGCAAAGTCTCAATAACGGATTGAAGACGCTTGACTTCGTCTTCCGCACGGCCGCGGGCCTCTATGGCCTCTCTGGCCTCTTCGCTCTTGGCGTTGGTATCAGTTTGCATTGACGCAATGACGACCCCTAGGCGCCTCACTTCGTCTTCCGCATGATCGCGAGCCTCCCTGGCCTCTTCGCTCTTAGCGTCTGTATCATTCTGCAGCGAGGTTATGACCACCTGGAGACGCTTCACTTCGTCTTCCGCATGCTCGTGGGCCTCTCTGGCCTCTCTAAGCTCTTCACTCTTAGCATCGGCGTCGGTTTGCAAAGTCTCAATAACGGATTGGAGACGCTTGACTTCGTCTTCCGCGCGGCCGCGGGCCTCTATGGCCTCTCTGACCTCTTCGCTCTTGGCGTCGTTATCGTTCTGCAACGATGTAATGATGGCCTGTAGACGCTTCACTTCATCTTCCGCATGGTCGCGGGCCTCTCTGACCTCTTCACTCTTGGCGTCGTGGTCATTGTGCAATGATGCGATGACGACCCCTAGGCGCTTGACCTCTTCTTCCGCATGGCCGTGTGTCTCTCTGGCTTCTCTAAGCTCTTCACTCTTAGCGTCGTTATCGTCCTGCAAAGATGTAATGACCACCTGGAGACGCTTCACTTCATCTTCCGCATGCTCGCGGGCCTCTCTGGCCTCTTCGCTCTTAGCGTCGGTGTCATTTTGCAATGATGTTACGAGAACCTCTAAGCGCTTGACCTCACCTTCTGCGCGGTCACGGGCATCACTGACTTCCTCAGCTTTGGCATCGTTGTCTCTCTGCAGATCGTCGATGTATTGTTGCAGGCGTTTAACCTCGGCCTCTGCTTGATCCTGGGCATCCCGGGCTTCGCTGACTTCGTGGGCTCTGACATCAGCTTCGCTGTGCAACGAGGTAACAACGCTTTGCAGACGCGCGACTTCGCCTTCGGCCTGAACCAGAGTCGCCTTGGCTTCTTCCTGGGAAGTGCCATTTTGGCGCATTGCGTTGAGCTGTCCCATGACAAGAGCCAGCTCCTCGCGATTGGCATTTCCGTCACGCTCGGATACCTCAAGGTCTTTGCGAACCTGAGTCAACTGCTCCGTCAGGTCGCCGATATGGGCATCGCGTTCGGCATCCGACTTGGAGTTGAGCTCGCGCTGCTGCTGGATTTGGGTGGTGAGAATACTCTTTTGCTCAAGCACTCCATCCACTCGGCTCTCCAGGCCATCTACACCAGTCTGAAGGTATGAGAGTTGTTCTTCTAGCCCATCGCCGTGAGACGCATCAGGGGGCGGGGGCAAGGTCGGTGAACGGGTCAAACCAAACCGATCAACGATGGTTTGCACCTGGTTGTTGATTTCGGTGAGTTGGTGCTTCCATGCGTCCTCGGCTTCAGGTGCAATACTGCGAGCAGCCGTGGGAGCAGGAACTTGTCCCGTATGCAAGACGATATTATTCATACTACTCTCGATATAGGCCAAATGAGCGTCGACCGTTGACATGGGATTGACGGGCCCTCCACCCCCTGACAGCTGCGGGGGAGGATCGATGAATTCACCGGGGTTGGACTGTATCATCATATCATGCATGCGTTCGCTCAGTTCCTCCAATCGTCGTTCGGTAGCCTGCATAGCCTCGGTATTCATTGCGGCAGCCGCATTGTTCTCGATCTTCCCATTCACGCCAAAGTTATCCAAATGCTCAGTTGTCCGGTACAGACTGCGGTCGTCGAATTTCTGATCATCATATGTGCTATCCGAAGTGGTAGGGTTCTTAGGACCCTTCTTCAGACCCTTGTGTGTCATCTGCAAAACACCCGCAGTGTGCTCCAGCAAGCGCTGGGTGATCTTCTGGGACCTCTTCTCGAGTTTCCAGAGTTCCTGCGCCAACTCCTCACATCGCCGCTGGCTGACTGCAAGTTCAGAGTCACTCTTATCGAGGGCCTCAGAAGCCCCACTGCGACCAAATATACCCCGGCTCATCCGGTTCGAGGCTGATCCGCCATTGGCACCGTATTCGCCGCTGCTCCGCGGGCTGGGCGGGCTGTAGAGTCTACCGAGGGACTGCGCCGCGTCACGTAGTTTCGTTTCGAGTGCCAGTTTCCGCTTCGTGCCTTGAATGCGAGTGGACAGTAATGTAACTTCCTTCTTGAGTTCTTCCACCTCCTCAAAGGATAAGACTTCATAGTTCGTGCTATCCCCTATGGCGGTCTCGGTCAACAGGTACATGGCCACGGGGTCGTTGGCATTCAGGAGAGCTGAGCTTCGCGGGTGAGTCGTGTTGAGCTACCGGAAATGAAGAAACCATGGTTAGCTGGGGTCCCGGGCTGGGCGTGTTGTGTCCGTACTCACTGGGTTGTATCGCGACCGCTCCTCATGTTGGGGGTCCAGGGCATCCCGATACCCGTCCACGAGTGTCTTTCCGTGCGGCGGCACCGGAGCTGGAGCATCGGAGGCGGTCATGGTTGAGAGATATCGCGGGTCCCCGTAGGAGGACTGGCTGGAGCGCATACTGATATTCATGGTCGTTCAAGGGCCGGGGTCTCTCCGGGTAGAATTGTTAGGAGAAATTCAGGAACAAGCGTTACGCATCATGGAATTCGGGGCGCTGGAGTTTGCGATCGGGGGTAAAAGGTAGTATGTCCCTCTCAATTAGGAGAATAGATGTGGAGAGAGGGATTCGATGTATTTAGCGAAAGTCGAGGCTAATATTAAATAAAAGATGGCGGGGAGTGAAGGAGAAAACACAAGATCGGCATCACCTTAGGGTTCAGCCACAGCAATTTCTTCAGTACGGAGTATACATTTGTAAGTGATATGTTCGATTTGAATAATTGTACACGTAGGTATCTTAGAGGTATCTTAGATATAGTTAGTTAACATTGAACATGTGTAGATGTATGTTGTACGGAGTATGGAGCTTACCCCTGAATACGTATACGAGTTAGGTTCCAAGGTCATTCCACTTTCTTTGTCTCAATGAGATGATTCGTTTATAGCGAATCCACTATATTGTATGTTGTAGAGATACATTCTACATTCTACATATGTACCTACTGTACAATATTAACGGTGATAACAGTGATAAATTAATATAAGTAACCTCACATAGTTCAGCTAACAACCCCGCTAAATACTACCTAAAGGTACTTAATAGTACTTGTGTAATGCAACGTCGCAGTAGGGCTGATTAAGTACCGCCAAGTACCCCGGTTGCGTGTACCTCGGATCCCCAGAGTAACATGAGAGAAGGCCAAGAGACTAAAAAGATGTGAGCTGCCGCTTTGTTTCATTTTCTTATAGCCCGCACAGAATGAATTTGCTCTGTCACACTTTGCTGTGGACATGTCGACTCTTGAGTGCTCTCCAGATGCAGAGCAGGGCTCTCGACCTATCTACAAGGTCTATAAGCGACGCTTCTGGGGTTTAGCCCAGCTAGTATTGCTAAACATCGTCGTTAGTTGGGATGTATGCGCTTTTTTTCGCTTTGCGATTAATCCATATATCGACTTCACACGTGCGCTGACTCTCGTATACAGTGGTTAACCTTCTCGTCGATCTCAACAACGGCCGCCGAGTACTTCGATGTCTCGGAGAGCGCTATTAACTGGATGAGCACTGCCTACCTCTTCGCCTTCTGTACTGTTAGTCCGTAAGTGTTCATAAATCGCTGTTTTGAAAAGAAAGATAAGGGAAAAAACCCCCGCTCCAAGTATCCTATTCACTAACCGGATTCCCAGCATCGTTATCTGGATCTTGAACAAAGGCGGCCCCAAACCAGCCATAGTCACCACCGCCACACTCCTACTAGTTGGTAATTGGCTCAGATATGCTGGCACAAGAGCAAACGGCGGCATCTTCGGGCTGGCAATGTTCGGCCAGATCCTCATAGGATTCGCGCAGCCTTTCTGCCTCTGCGCACCAACCCGATACAGCGAGCTCTGGTTCTCCGATAAAGGGCGCACGAGCGCAACAGCAGTCGCCAGTCTAGCGAACCCCCTCGGCGCAGCCCTGGGTCAGCTAATCGACTCGGAGTGGGCATCGAAACCCTCCGATATTCCAAATATGGTCTTGTACATCTCAATCATCGTACGTGAAACCCATTCCGCAAAATATCCCAACCCACGCATTGGTCCTTTCTCTACCTTTCGCTCACACAAGTAAAAACCAAACAGTCCACTGTCGCAGCACTTCCATCCTTCTTCCTCCCAGCCTCACCACCAACACCCGCAAGCGCATCCTCCGCAAGGCAACACACACCACTGGGCGCCGCACTGCGCGAACTAACCAGCACGCGAGAATTCTGGCAGATCTTCATCCCATTCTCCGTATATGTGGGCTTCTTCAACAGCGTCTCCTCACTGCTAAACCAAATCCTCAGTCCGCACGGGTTCTCCGAGACAGAAGCAGGTATAGCAGGCGCAATCTTGATCGTGGTGGGACTCATCACGTCGGCAATCATGTCGCCGATAACAGACCGGTACAAACACTATCTTGGTAGTATCCGGGTTCTGGTGCCTATAGTGGCCGTCACGTATATCGGACTTATTTTTGCGCCGGGCAGTGCAGCGGGAATCCCGCCTTCGTATGTGGTTATGGCGCTGCTGGGCGCGGCGTCGTTTGCTATGCTGCCCATTGCGCTAGAGTACCTGGCTGAGATTACTTATCCGCTCTCATCGGAGATTGGGAGTACCATCTGCTGGACGGGTGGGCAGTTGCTTGGTGCTTGTTTTATTCTTATTCAGGATGCGTTGAAGGCTGGGGCTGCGGCTGTGCCACCGTATAATATGCAGAATGCGTTGGTGTTTGCGGCTGTTGTGGCTGTTGTGGCTGCGCCGTTCCCGTTGACGATTGGGCTTTTTGGGAGGGATGTTCATCGTCGTAGGCTGGAGGTTGATCGTGGGATTGAGTTGCAGGAGAGGAGGGAGGTGGCTCGCACGGATGATAATGTTAAGAGGGTTAGATCTGATGAGTCTGCTGTGGATACTGATACTCTGATCAAGACTTGAGGACTGTGTCGCTATCAAGGTTCTTTTGGGATCTGCGACTTGCTCTTCTTAACGGGTTGGAAGAACCGTGACGGTTCGCTCTTTTTTGTTTGTTGCTGCGCCATGTATATGGCGCCCTTGATGAGTCTTTATTTCTGTTGTCCTGATCAGCACGAGTTATACCCTGTTTATGTTACCCTGAGATCTTTTGAATTTATGACCACCCACAGGGACTTGATGCGATTTGCATCGATATAGCAGTCTAGTTGGCAAATTGAGCATACTTCTGGGTTAACAGTCTGGCCATGACTACACCGAACCGACTTAGATGCATCCTACATCTAGTTAGGTGATAGCTATAAGCCTAGCCTACCGCAGCACAATGCCAATCTAGACAGATGAGATTCGTTTTAAAACAAGAGAATAAACAAAAGCACAGTTCGAACAGGCGGAAGACCAGCTATCTGTACACGCAAGGCTTGAAAGAGGAGGGCAAATGATCTATTATTCTTTGTTGCTTCCTCTGAGCCCTCCTCCCTGCCTTGAAAACACAATACATATGCGCACACATACGCAAAGAGCGACCAGAAAGCAAAATTTCACGTTTCTGCATCGATCTTGCGTTCTCAATCCAAGGCGGCAAGCTACCAGGCTATCAGTCCGCCTTGGCAGCCATCATAAAAGCGGGATTGGTTTTTCTTCCGGCGTTTCGGTCCAAGGGGTTCCCCGTATCGACGCGGTGGAGAGCGAAGATTATTCATGGGCCAGATCAATGCGAGGGTTGGACGAAACGACGAAATCAAGACTCAAATGGAAGAGTCGTTTACTTCAGCTCCCGCCAGAGCTTGGGGGCAGCGCAGGCGGTCACGCAGTGAGTGAGGTGGAAGACTGGGTGATGTTAGTCGCACAATCAGGATTCGATGGGAGGCAATCCGTTGTTTTTGTCCAGTTCCATCATTGATAGCAATTGTACTTACACTCCTCAACGCAGTCCTCCTTGGGGCCCTTGTAATCCTCATCCTCCTCTTGGCGGGTGACGCGCTCAACGCACTCATCGTAGTGGTGCTTGTAGGGAGCACAGACGGCGGAGTGGGCGCACTCTGAGAGTAACAGTTAGTTTCCGATCGAGGAAGCTGGTGAAATTCGACGTCGCAATGCCATTGGTGGTTTCATAACCCAGGCGCGGATCCTGACACATAAAGACCAATTGGTGCGAACAACAGCTCGTGTCCAAGGATCGCATGACATGGGCGACAATGGAACGCGAATAAAAAAAAGCAAAAGTCAGAAAAAACAGCAAGGTCACTCACCCTCCTCGAGCTTGGGCTTGATGTCCTCAGGCTCCTCCTCTTCCTCCTCCTCTTCTTCCTCTTCCTCCTCCTCGGCCTCAGCCTCCTCCTCGGGAGCCTCCTCGGCAGACTCCTCCTCAGCGGGGGTCTCCTCGGGGGTCTCCTCAGCGGACTCGGTCTCGGCGGTCTCGGTGGAGGTGGACTCCTCCTTCTCGGCGGGCTCTTCCTGGGTGGTGGTCTCGGTCTCGGTGTCTTGAGCAGGAGCCTCAGCCTGGGCCTCGGTGAAACCGAAGGAGGAGACGACGTCAGAGAAAAAGTCGGAGAGACCCATTGCGACAGAGATCAATTGAATGATGACCGGAGGTCTTGTGTGGGGGTGGGAAAGCGGAGGGGGGTTGTAATTGAAGGAGGTTGTTGGTTTTGCCCAAGAGCTGCTTCTTTCGGACTGGAAAATCGGAAAGGCCCGGCCGCTGAGAGACGCCAATTATGCCGCACGTGATTGGCCAATGGGCTCCAACCCCATTCAAGACTTGACGATTGCAGTTTATGAGGAATTTAATACTGGAGCTATTTCTGCTTGATCTAGGGATCTCGGAATGACGGAATAATTCTATTATTGTTTGCTGGGAATCAACCTTGGCGAGCATATCAAGTCTTCCTGTCTCCATTTCTAAGTGCGTAATCACCGCTTTCGTATCGCTAATTGCTAATTGATGGGGACATAATGTACATGAGATGAGAATTAAAAATGAGGCCAGTTCAAATATGTGATAGAATGGCATGTTGAAATAAACTCCCGAAAGATTAGGTGGCCCGTCGCAGCCTCTCCTCCAGCTCATGGGCAACACTTTGCGACTGAACCTCCTCGTAACATGGAGGCGGCTCCACGGGTTCGGTACCGGTGTCAGACGCTCGACTGCTTTGTGACTCTTCTGGTGTCTGGCTGGGTCTAACACTTTGGCTAGCATTAGGTGGAGCTTCATATGCAGGTAACTCTTCCAAATGAACTGCCGAGAGATCCACATTTTGTTGGCCTCGGGTACCCTCGCTTGTGTTCTCAACAGCTTGCTCGAGTCGTTCTTTGATCCGCTCGAAGTTGGTGTGGAAATCAAAGGCCCCACCCTCCTTGAATGTCACTTTCAACTGAACGGCAGGGAGGGACGGTGAAATGCCACCTCCGGATACTGGTTGGACCAGAGCTGTCCATACATTGGGTCCAAAGAAAGGTGCTGATACATGGGAGTCA